AACCTCTGTGGATCCCTCTTGTACGTAAAGAAGGGACTAAAGCCCTCTCTGATCCATTGGTTTCCATCTACAAGAGCTCAGATGGTGAATTCCCAGAGAGCCCGACAAGACAATCATAACATCTATGATTAAAGGGGGGGATTAGTCAGAATAAATTGATACTCAGAAAAATACACAAATAGATTATTAAGCAATCAATTTGTAAGGAGCTAAAAGATAATGGCGCAGAGATGGGTTTGTCTAGAACTCTGCACCAGGGCAATTTCCCTCCGTGCCAAGGAGCCTGCCCCAGCAGGAACGGGGAGAGCAGCAGATCTCTGCTCTCTGCAGCAGATCCAACACGGGCTCCAGGAAGGCTTTGGGTGCCCTGATGTCCTCATAAGCACATAAAGGTACCATGGTCTCCAGATGAAATCCTCCTCCTGCAGAGGCATAGCTGGGTGGGAAACCACACCAGGAGCTGTCAGCAGGTTGTGATCAAACCAAAAGGGCTTTCTCAGGGCTGGGGCAGGAGGGGGTGTCCCCAGCCCAGACCTGGGCACTATTTTCGATGGTGGGTTAAGTCCCACCCAGAAGGTACATGGGCAGTGTCTGTAAGAGCAGCCTGGAGGGGCTGCCAGCGGGGAGGGACAGCATTAGTGTTCAAACCATCCTGGTAAGAGGAACAAATGACCCAACGAGCTGCAGTCAGGCCAACAGCACGGGCACAAGCAAAAACTACAACTTTCTGAATGGCTGGCGAGCCAGGGGTGCAGTGAAGAGTGAACTGGGATTTATATTTGATCGCAAGCTCAGTATTAACCAATAAATTGCTGAGTGTGGACAGAGCAGGAGAGGCTGCAGCTGTGGGGCATCACACAGGGCTCAGCTCTGGGTACCCAGCCCATGGTCCTGCCACCCCTCGGGGGGAGGCTGGAGGGAGTTCAAAGACAAGCAGAGAAGCAATGATAAGAGGTTTGGAAAACATGACCCATGGGGAGAGACTGGAGGAGCTGCACATGTTTAGTCTGGCCCGGAGAAGGCCAAGGAGGGCAGGTGATAAGGGCCACACAGTATAAATGCTGCTGCAAAGAACACGGATCTACTGCTCTCCACCTTCCAGCACAGGGGGAGCAGAAAGGGGCTTCCTTTGCAGGGAAGAAGCTTTAGGGTTGGGAAAACTTTGTATAAAAGTACTGCAGGATGTGAATGAGGAAGGTCCCAAGCCTTTTTGTAGCAAGACTTAAAAGAAGATATTAGAAGGAGGTGTTGATGCCACCTGTGAGACCCAACCCTCTGAGCATCCTCTCCCAGGCAGCACTGCCCCGACCTGGGGGGGACACAGGCTCCAGCCAAGCAGCCTTGGGGGCTCACCCCAAACGTGTCTTGAATGTTAGTGTCTGCAGTAGTATCAAAAACAAGGATTTCCATAAAAAACTTTGAGGTGCCCCAACAGCCAGGTGATCTGAACAGGCAGTTCAGTGAGCAAGGAGGGTAAATACAACAAAAAAAAATATATCCTAGTTTTGGCTAAATCAAACCACTTCAAAAGCAGGTCAGCTTTAGCAATCTTTCAGAGTGGAAATAAGGAAACAGGAGCAGCCTGATAGCGCCTCATTTGTGCAGTCCAGAAGTGGTGGTTGGGGGGAGAACGACAGATTTGTTTGGAGAACATTTAGTACCTCTAACACTTAAAAATATGACAACAGTTTTAAAAGCTCAAAACAGGATCATCTGATTTTCTGTAAACAAAAGCCTCAGTCAGTTGAAGGGTTTTTTTCTTCCAAAGTCCAGTTCATGCTAATTAAAAAGGTTTCTCTTCTATTTGTGGATAGAATTTTCTTTTTAAACCATGGGATTTGCACTAATTATGAATCTATATGATGCCTGCAAGAGCTGGAGGCCTCAACAGCTTCAATGCTTAAAGCACAGCAGGTTAGGAGAGCAGTCTGTATATTTTCCTGGCTATAAAACATCACATACAATTATCACGCCAATTTTCAGCCCCATCTACACCTTTGAGGATTTGGTACCTAAAACAAGACTTACCTTACACATCGAGTGCTCCTGGGATCCCAATGTGATGGGCACGTGAACTTCATCCACCATACAAGGAGTTATGGACCATGGTGCCAACACGCTGCCCTGGGGGGTGTAAATACCCCAGCAGAGAGAGAGGCTCCATCTTCCCAGGGAAACACAACCTGAGGACTGAGCCCCTTTTATCCAGGTGCCCCTGGGCCGCCCGTGGTGGAAGCTACAAGCATTGGCTGGGTTTCAAAACACCCTGGGCCCAATCAACCAGTGTAAATTGGTGCTACTCCACCCGCACCGGTGTTAAGATGCTGATTTAAACAAGCTGAGGACTTAGCTCTCAGCGTTTAATTTCCACCTGAGAGAGTCAGCTGTTTGCAGCGTTTCCCCTTCACTTCCCAGGTCCAGCAGACGTGTAGGACACCCCGATCCTGACCCCAGGACCTGCCCTGGAAGTGGCAGAAGGAGCATGAAGCACAGCTGGAAGATTTGTGTGTGCTATTGGGATCCCTCAGGACGAGGGGAGATGCTATAAGTGTTATTCACGTGCCCAGCTCAGCCGATGGGTATCACATACCCTCCCAGCCCAGGAAACAGGCCAAATTCTGCTTCTTGTTACACAAGGGTAAATCTAGAGCAAGTCCCTCCTGACTGCACCTCCTTCCAGGGATGGGCTGCTGAAGCATCCATGATTTGTTTAGTTTAGGGGGTGTAAAAAACATACCCGGATGGTTCAAAGGGAAGGTGACAGAACCGGACTGTGGCCAGGAAAGTCTCCGTTCTCCTGTCTTGGCTGGAGTTGTCTCCTGGCTGGGTGGGAGAGGGCAGACTGACCCCCCCAAACCTTGCAGGGAGAAGTGGCAGAAGGAACGTGAAGCGCAGCTGGAAGATTTGTGTGTGCTTTTGGGATCCCTCAGGACGAGGGGAGATGCTATAAGTGTTATTCACGTGCCCAGCTCAGCCGATGGGTATCACATACCCTCCCAGCCCAGGAAACAGGCCAAATTCTGCTTCTTGTTACACAAGGGTAAATCTAGAGCAAGTCCCTCCTGACTGCACCTCCTTCCAGGGATGGGCTGCTGAAGCATCCATGATTTGTTTAGTTTAGGGGGTGTAAAAAACATACCCGGATGGTTCAAAGGGAAGGTGACAGAACCGGACTGTGGCCAGGAAAGTCTCCGTTCTCCTGTCTTGGCTGGAGTTGTCTCCTGGCTGGGTGGGAGAGGGCAGACTGACCCCCCCAAACCTTGCAGGGGTGCAGGAGGGTCCCCGCTGCAGGACCCTGAGGGTGCTGAGCGGGTGCTCGGGTGCGTACATGGCTGGGATGGACACAGGCAGAGCTGGATCTTGGACCTAATGGGGCCAGCAATGATTAAAAGCAAGAAGTGAGGCAGGCACCTCCCCAGCCCGGTGGTGCTGCTCCTCTGGGGGGGTGCAAGAGCCCCCCGTCCCACCAGCTCTCCCGGGATGGTCCCGTCTCTGGGATCATGGTGGCTGGGACGTGCCAGCTGCTGCCAGCCACCTCCAGCCAATGTCAGCTGAAATACAACACACCTTCATTCTCCTCACCTTCTGCCCAGCTGCCGAGAGGCCGTTTCCAGCCGCACGGCGAGGGGCTGGGGCCGTGACTTTGGGCTCCTGTGTCAGCCCCAGGCTGTCACACGGCCAAGGGCGAGCGGGGCTGAGCTTCACCCCTCTGCTTCCCCCGGGCTGTGCATCCTTCCCACCTCCAGCCAATGTCAGCTGAAATACAACACACCTTCATTCTCCTCACCTTCTGCCCAGCTGCCGAGAGGCCGTTTCCAGCCGCACGGCGAGGGGCTGGGGCCGTGACTTTGGGCTCCTGTGTCAGCCCCAGGCTGTCACACGCCAGCTCTCCCGGGATGGTCCCGTCTCTGGGATCATGGTGGCTGGGACGTGCCAGCTGCTGCCAGCCACCTCCAGCCAATGTCAGCTGAAATACAACACACCTTCATTCTCCTCACCTTCTGCCCAGCTGCCGAGAGGCCGTTTCCAGCCGCACGGCGAGGGGCTGGGGCCGTGACTTTGGGCTCCTGTGTCAGCCCCAGGCTGTCACATGGCCAAGGGCGAGCGGGGCTGAGCTTCAGCCCTCTGCTTCCCCCGGGCTGTGCATCCTTCCTCCCTCCCCTTCCCTCCACGGGGCTTATTTAAGCTCCCAGGCTGTCCGAGGTGGGGAATCCCTCCCCAGACATTTATCTCCCCGGTGCCTGGCACGGCCGTCGCAGCCAGGACCTCTGCAGGGCAGAGAAATGCTGACTCTCACCCAAAGCCCTCGCACCCCCTCGCTCCCCCCAGCCTGGCTTTGTCCCCAGCTGCAGCCCAGGGTCCTGCATGACCCCCAGCCCGGACACCCCCCACCCCCCCAGGCTCTCAAAACACCCCAGTTCATGCAGCCTCAGCCAGCAAAGGGTCAAAAAGATCCCAGCCCTCCTTCCCCCCCCACCCCTTGATATAAATACCAGCCTACCAGTCGACACAGAGTACATACATCTTAAACAAACACTTGGCCGGGCTGTTTATCTCCACAGCCTTTAAACAAACTCTTTCAAAGGTTTCTGCTGATATGAGAGATTTACTGAAAACCATTCGCCCTTCTTAAAAGCCTCTCAGTTTATGCTGCTATGGGTGAAACGAATAGTGTTTTAGCCTGGAGTTTTCTGTCTTCTGACCGCGTGTTTATCCTAGGGGCCACTGCTAGCTTTGATACGAGAGCAGCACGGACACAAATCTTTACGAGGGAAAATATAAAATAAACCCAGAAACTCTGTGTGCGTGTGTGTGTGTGTGTGGCACGGGTGGAGGGGACTGGGCAGGGAGGAGTGAATGAGAAGTTTTGTCCCTGTTAGTGTCACCCTTGGCACCTCCAGCATCCCACCTTGTTATCCCGTGGCGTTCCTTATTCCCATGAAGTTTTTCATCCCTGCCATCGGTGTGGGGCTCCCTGAGATTGCAGATTTCCAGCAGCTCTCGGCATCACCAGCTCAGCACCTCCACGGGGCACGCCGCCCTCACGCCGATGGGCTCCCAGAGCAGGATTCATTAAACCTCTGGAAAAAAAAAATAATACACAAACGAGAGACATCAGAGTTGCTGCCAGAGCAGCGAGGACGTCAGTACGGCCCGAGGCACTTCATACCATCTCAGTGCGTTTTCAGCCCCATTTCACAGGTGGGGAACCTGAGGCTGAGGGAAATGATGTGCTCAAGGATGCTTGGGAAGTAAATGGGAGGAATTGGACCTGAGTTTAAATACTAGATGGCCCTGCTTCAAGTGAGGTTGATCTGCTGCTCTTGACTCTGCCATAAGAAGAAGAAAAGGGAGAGGACAGATTGGAAGTGCTTCTGGAGGAGCTGAACCATCCAGTGGGAAGAGCATTTTGCCCACCGTGCTGAGAAATCACACCTGGATTTTAACTGGAGCCTTTTGCATCTCACCCATGGCTTCGCAGTGATTGCTCCAGGTTCAACCAAACCCAAAGGTTCTCACACCATTGGGAGGATTTGTCACGATGGTTTGCAACGGGCAGAGCCCAGGCCTCCTGAGACCTGGCAGTGTCTCTAGAGATCACCCCAGGGTGGTTTCGTGCCTGGGAGCCCCTGGTCCTGCCCTCTCTGCAAGCAGCCAAAGAGCCCACGGGTGCAGGGAGGACGGTGTGTGGGGGCACAGGGATGTCCCCCAGGGTCCTGCCAGCGGGAAGGGCTGGAGCAGGAAGGCTGGATGCAGTGGGATGTGTTTGGAGACGCCTGGGGAAGGGGGGAAGCGGAGCTGGCAGCCCAGCAGGATCTGTCCTCGCTCGTACCTGGGGATACCCAGGGCAGCTGCTTCAGTGAGGCTTTTTCTACAGGCTTTGATGGGTTTTCTGGTGAAACCCAGGCTAATTTCACCAGAGCTGTGGGTTTGCCTAGCACTCCACAGCAAGGTAATTAGAAGATTTTGGCCCGGCTGTAATTACTGCTCATTGATGTAGTGCAGGAGAGGATGCAGCGAGGCATGACCTGGGCTCACGGCCCCAGGTACAGGGGGGACCTCGGCCACCCCTCACCATCCGTGAGGGCACCTACAGCACGGGGACTGCTCCACGGGGGGATGCAGAAGGTGCTCTGCCCCACAGAGCTGTCTCCAGAGCCCTGCCACGATGTCCCCGTGTGCTGGGCACACTCTGAAGAAAGATGGTCCCTGCCCCAAAGACCCTGCAATCTAGCGACAGGGTAAAACATTCCTCCTCCTTTTTCTTTTTTCAACCAGTTTACATTGTTTTCTGCAGTGTTTTCCAAGGAGGTGACCGAGCCTTCGATTTGTTTCTGCTGCAACGTGCCACGCAGAGGAGGAATCTGTTCCCTGGTTTCCAGCAGCCCAGGGCTTTGCAGCATTACGTGTCATTTCTTATTTACCCTCCTCCCTCGCTTATGACACACTCAGGTAGAGACCTGTTTGTTGTCAGTATGACACCCACGTTGGTAAACAAGGCGAGTTTACCCAGCCATCAATCAGGGGGTTATCGATAGCAGGCACAGCTTTCCAACAGCAGGAACAACCCCAGGGTGGGCGAGAGCCCGGAGCCGGCACAGGCGATGCTCTGCCATCCAACATCCTCGGGGGCTCTGCCCCACAGGGAGAGGATGAGGTTCTTGCACCACCAAAAACCAGCCACCCAGGATGCGTTACATCAGGTTACAATCAGGTCTAGGCTCCTAAAGGTTTTATTTTCTTTTATTGCCATATGATTTTTTTTTTTTCCTCCCCCGTGGCCCTCTAGCTCCCTGGATCTCCCAGGGTTTCAGCAGGCCGGTGGGAACAAAGCCACAGGACAGGTTTCAGAGTAAACACCGGCTGCCACGAGACTCCTGATAAAATTGCAACAGCTCTGGCCACCCAGCCACACTGGAGATAGGACCTCACTGCCCCGACGGGCCTGGGAAGCAGAAGGCAAATAAAGAAAACCCCAAGAAATTTATTGGGGACCCCCATTATTGCCCCGTGGCACGGGGTTTTCAGCCCATCTCGGAATATGCTGGAGCCTCACATGGGATTTGTGAATGCTGGCATTGATGGGGCTGCTTTTCCATCCCTCCTCCGGCCCCTCAGCTCCAGGCAGGAGAAACTCAGACGCTTCTGGGTCTCCGGCGAGGCCGAGGTCCGAGGCTGCCGGGTGGGAGGAGGATGAAGAAGACAGTTCCCAGATGTCTCCCTGCACCACCCCGCGCAGGGAGACGGGGAGAGCGGGTGATGTGGGGTTTCTCCAGGGTTTCAAGGCGGTTTGGTGTGCTCGGCGTTTAGGAGAAACCCGGCAAAAGAGCAAAGGTCAGGAGAGAAATGCTGGTATTTATTTATACAGGAGAGCTTTGTGAACAACATGTATTTGGGAGCCTTTCGAAACAACATAACTCGCCCTCCAGAGCTGCTAAACCAGTTTGGTAGCGACGCTCCTGCACACGGCGGGGCAGCCGGAGGGACGCTGCGGGAGAGGAAGGGCAGCCGGGAATGCAGACCCCCCCCAAGTCCCACAGCTCACCCCAAATCCCGGGGACAGGGCTCAGGGCATCCAGCCCTTCCCTGGGACACCCCCTGCCCCCCGTGTAGCCCCATCTCTGGGGGCTGGTTACCCCAGGCTGAGCACAGGCCTGATGCTGGGGTGAAGGGCGGGATGAGCTCAGCTCCAGATGGAAACCAAGGGGAAAACCCAAAGAGCTGCCCAGTCCCGACCTTCCCTGTGCTTGGGGAAACCTTGGAGCGTTGCCCCCCCTGGGCTTTTCAGACCCTGGATTTATGGCATTTGCTTTAATGGGTGTTTCTCCACAGGAACCCATAAGCCTGGGGTGCCCGGGATCCCTGGCTGTGCGCAGCCCCCAAATCAGTAGCCACTTTTGCAAACTCGTGGCCGCAAAGCGGAGCAGGCTCCGTGCAGTTGGTGCAAGTCTGAGAGCAGAGCCCAGCCAGGGGCCAGGTGGCAGCGGGGGCCCCCCGGCCCGTAACAGCCACCTCCCTTCAAATGGAAACTTTCCCTTATTTTATCGCCGTTTTACGGCTCCGGCGCAGATGAAGCCGGCGAAGCCCAGCTGGGCAGAGGGGGATCCAAGCGGGAGCCAGGCACGATGCTGCTGCCTCGGCTGGGGCCATGTGTCTGGCAGCCTGGAGGGGAGTCGTTCATTACAAAAAAGGGCTTTTTTCCAAAGCCCCTCACTCCTGGGTGGGTCCTGCGGGAGGATGGGATGTTGTGCCCGTCCTGATGGGTTCACCCGGCAGCGTTTTGGTGCTCACCATGGAGGCTGGACCATGGACCACCATGGACCATGGTGGTTGCTGCAGTGCCATCTGAGCATCAGCTCCTGGGCCATCCCCACTCCCTCTGCTGCTGGTCCTGGCTCCTGGGAAGGCAAACCCACACTGGTGGGGGCTCAGGGTGTTTCTGGGCACGGCATGAACCAACACAAGCTCTTAACGGCAGCGTGGTCAGTGGCCCTTCCTGAGCTGTGTCTATAAAAGCTCACATTTGCCCTCCCCATCCCATTTTTGGGGGGATCCTGCTTGCCGTATGAATGACCAACCCCTCCAACACCTCAGCCCCAACCAGGGCTTCAGAGGGAAAAAATAAATGGAGGCCAAAGCTTTGGCCCAAACCTGGTGAGTCTGACTTGGAAACGCTCCCGCAGCGCCGCTTGGGATCAGTAGCTCATTTTTTTGGACACCCCGACGGGCAGCTTGACCCCAAAGATCCCCAGCCCCTTCCACATCCCCCCCGGGCCCCTTTCCATCCCCTGTCCCCACCGTGGGCAGCAGCGCGGTGGCCACGAGGGTCCCCGCACGGAGCAGGAGGGAGCCCCGCTGCCGGCGAAACGTGGGTAGCACAGACGGGCCCTTGAGCATACGCCGAAGAGAAGACTTTTTGTTCACATGTGTTGGCTCGGCTCAAATAACTCATCGGGGACCCGGGCTGCAGGCTGGAAAGGGAAGAAACTCTCTCCAGATGAAAGGATGTCAGAAAATTGTATTTAGTCAACTGCGTGTGTGTGTTAGAAAGGGGCGGAGGGAGGAAGGGGCCGCGGAGGCTGTTACTGTGACTGACTTTCTGACTTCTTAACTTGTCAGCATATCCTAAAGTTAAAAATGCACATGCACACAGGACTGCAGCCAAAGAGGCTGTCTAGCCGCAAATCCAGATGTGGGGGCCACTGCGCAGCCAGCCAGCCCCGCTCTCCCTGAAACGACTTTCAGACTAAACAATTGTGACTTGGCTGTGAGAGGCAGCGCAATTCCAGATGCTGCTTTCCTTTCACGTTGTTTTAATTGGGCTGGCAGGCGCAAGGGCTCTTTCAGTGAGAGGAAAGCTTCCCCACGGGACCGCAATGTTTTGGCAAAGCTCCCACGCTGCTACCTTAAGAGAGGGAAGGAGAGGGAGAGGAGGGGAGGCAGGGAGGTGGTGGTGGGGAGAAAAATTGAGAGCGACTTTCCAAGGTGTTTACTGCTGCGAACGGCTGCCGCTCCGCGTTTTTATCTGCTGAAATTCTCACCTTTTTTTTTTTTTAAAGTTCAGTTTGTTTAATGTCACCCTGGAAAAAATAAAACACACCAGGACACGGGGCGATGGGGACTTGTCCCCTTGCAGCCCGGAGCGTGAGCCGCTGGCACGGCCAGGCAGTGCCCTGGGAAGGGGGTACCAAGCTCTGGGCTTGACCAGGGCAGCAGCTGAGAGCCACGGCGGGTGTCGGTGGTGGCCATCCTCAGGGATGCCTCCCCATCCCTTCCCAGATGTTGACGGTCACAACAGCTGGACAGAGCCAGGGGGTTGCCCTTCACCTTGCAGCAGCAGAGCGGGAAGCGATACGGGCTGTTAAAATCTCCTCCAGAGTGATGTAGGTGCTGACACCCAGACCCTGCTCCAAGGGGAAAACCCCAATTTTGGGTGGTGAACACCCTCCTTTTGTCCTGCCCAAACTCCCCATGCCATCTGGTAAAAATGGGTTAAACCAACCCATTTTGGTACCCCTCCTTGCCATCCATGCTGCTCCCCTATTTATCCCCTTTCTCCCGCAGCACCCCCCCGGGAGAG